CTCTCTCTCTCTCTCTCTCTCTCTCTCTCTGCGGGTGCGAGCACGAGGGCTGTGTATTCGTTGTTGTGCTCTCGGCACCCGTTCACATGACGCGCACACCGTCTGGTGTGTGTGTGGCTCTTTGTTCAGTTCGCCTCGGACATTATCGCACGTGGGAATGTGTGGCCTTCCGTTCTCCTTCGAACTTGTGTGGCGCTGTGGACGCGGTACTTTTGTTGTTGTTTTTTTTTAATTCTATTTCTCGCCTCTGATCACCTTTGTTTGAATGTATGGCAACAGTCTTTCCAACGACTCATACACTCACACGGTCCCCTTTTCTTCTTCTTCGGGGTTCTGCCGTGCTGTTGTGTTGGCTTCGATTACGTGCACGTCGTCGCTCTTTTTCGTGCTCTCGACTGTCCGAATGCGGCTCCGCTCGTTCCTGCTGCGGTACTACCCGCCCGGCATCACGCTGGAGTACGAGACCTCCGCCGGGGAGGTGGGCGCCAAGACGGTGGATCTCCTCACACTCACGCCGCAGACAAATCTAGAGCGGCTCGCGGCGGAGATCATCAAGGAGGAGCCGCTCCTCAGCGAGAAGTACGCGCCGCAGCTGGTCATGTACCTGCAGCGCCTCGTGGACAAGCTCAAGGCCGGGTACAACAACAAGCAGATCTTCTACCTGTTCAAGACACTACGGGCGCACATGCTGCCGCTGACGAACTGTGCCTTCAACAAGGGCGGCGACTCCTTCATCACGGGCAGCTACGACCGCACATGCAAGGTGTGGGACACGGCCACCGGCAATGAGATTGTGTCGCTGGAGGGGCACCGCAATGTTGTGTATTCGGTTTCCTTCAACAACCCATACGGCAACCGCGTAGCCACCGGCAGCTTCGACAAGACGTGCAAGATATGGGATGCGCAGACAGGGCAGTGCTACCACACGCTGGCGGGCCACATGGCTGAAATCGTGTGCATGAGCTTCAACCCGCAGAGCACTCTCCTCTCTTCGGGCTCCATGGACTACACCGCGAAGGTGTGGAACGTGGAAACGGGGCAGGAGACGTCCACACTGCTCGGCCACACTGCGGAGATTGTGTCACTGAACTTCAATACGCAGGGAAACCTCATCCTCACGGGTAGCTTCGACACCACGGCTAAGCTGTGGGACGTGCGTACCGGCAAGTGCGTACACACGCTGAGCTCGCACCGCGCGGAGATTTCCTCCACGCAGTTCAACTACGCCAGCAATCTCTGCATCACCGGCTGCATCGACCGCACGTGTAAGGTGTGGGACGTGAGCTCCGGGCAGTGCGTGTCGACGCTCCGCGGGCACACGGACGAAATTCTCGACGTGGCCTTCAGCACGACGGGCTCGATGGTCGTGACTGCTAGCGCAGACGCTACGGCGCGTGTGTATGACACGGCGTCGTGCAACTGCATTGCGAGCCTGGTGGGCCACGAGGGCGAGATCTCCAAGGTGCAGTTCAATCCGCAGGGGACAAAAGTCATATCGGCTGCCAACGATAAGACGTGCCGCGTGTGGAGCGTGGAGACGGGGCAGGTGCTGCAGACCCTTTCTGGCCACAATGATGAGATCTTCTCGTGCGCATTCAACTATGAGGGTGACACCATTCTTACAGGGTCGAAGGACAACACCTGCCGCATCTGGAAGAGCTGAGCGTATGCGGCAAGGAGAGTGGGCCGTTTCGCATGTATCGTGGTTTGGATCGCTTACCTAGTGTATCGCGAAACTGCATATGAATGCGGCCCGTCGGCTCATTGTTTCTTCTTTGTTGTTGTTTTGTTTTGTCTTCTTGTCGATGACGTCTGAGAGTGTGCGCTGTCGCATCCCAAAGTTTGTGAGAGTTTCATGATGCGGCTTTGATTCGTTCTTGGTGACGCCGATTGGTGCTGCCTTTCTTTCCCTCGCATTTGATATATGATGGTGTTTGATTCCCCGTTGTTTTTGATCTGTGAATGGTATTGTTGTTTTGTGTAAAGCGCGGTGGGGTGGCGATGTGTCACTCCGCAGATAAATTGTACTTACGTTCGTAAAGGTTCCTGCCGCATGTGCCCTCGGTGACGCCGTTCTGCTTTTTTTTTTTCTTCTTCGTGTGTGTGTGTGTGTGTTTGTGTTGTGTTTTCTGGTCTGCTATGGAGTTGTTGTATTCTGTGGGTTGGTACGTTGCATGGCGTGATGACATGCGTAGATGTCCCTCAAGTGAAGCTGATGCATTCCTCCACCAGCCCGTGGCACTCCACAGCCGCATACGTGAGGCTATGAAGGCACAACAGTGGCGTGACCGACGAAGGCGTGGTTCGTCACAGGAGCCGATCGGGGCATTGAGACCGACTTAAAATGATGCCTGCTGCGCAGGTGCCGTCGTGTGGTGGCCACAGAGCGCCTTGCTGACAGCGTCGTGTATGACCTCGCCTCGTACCGCTGCAAGGAATGCAGATGGGAGCTCCTGCGGATTCTACTTCGCGGTATTGTGATGGCTGTTGGGATCGGCAGCCCCCGTGGCGAGGGCGGTGTAGCGTTTTGATTGAGATGTGCTCGTCAACAACAAAGAGGGTGGGCAGATGGGCCTCTTTGGAGGCCTCAGTGAGAAAGAAATATGAACGTGTTTTGCACGACGAGCATCGTTGTGTGCCGTGGTTCCGCTGATGCGGCGGCGGCGTTCTGGTATCCTTTTCACTGTGACTTCCGCTGTAGGACCGGTGGGCACGAGGGGCGGCTCTATGTCTAATGCGCAGTGAGGCTAGTGCTGGGGTTGGCGCCGTTCAACATCTGCAAGTGCCCGAGAGAGCCTGGCCTGCCCCGCGCCGACTTTCACGGACGCGTTGTCTGTGACGTTGGGCGGTACATCATTTTATTCCCGTGCTGCAGTGCTGAGAGGCGGGCGCATGGAAGAGAGCGTGCGACAAGCGGTGATTGGGGAAAGGAGGACTGCGGAAGCGGGTCCGAAGTTGAGAGGAATCGGGTCGTAACGGGGAAAGGAGAGGAGAAGAAAGTGGAGCGAAGGCAATGCTTAAGAGTGGTAGCTCGTTTGCGAACATGCGTGCACTGATATATACAGATACATCTGCCTGCTTGTTCTCACGTGGTACAACGTGATGGTCTGTTGTGTGTGGAGGCGGCTTTGTGAGGATGGAGCACCGCTGCCGCTCTTTTCCGTGGCTGTTCTCACCCGTACTATGGAAGGAGAGAGAGAGAGAGAGTACGGACAGCAATAATATAGGAAGTTCCAGTGCGATAAACGAAAAACACCAACGCGAGAGTACGAATGCGAAGACTGCAAATGGCTGGCCTCGTCACTTCTCTTTGGCGGCCGTTGGGAGTTAGCAGCGAGCAATGCTGTGCTGCCACTCCCCTACAGCAGGATTTCTCTGTTGCTGTTGAGCTCCTCGCCCCGCGGAAGCCGCCACTTCCAGAATCCTTTATGAACACCTTTAAAATGTTCCAAGAGTTCCGGCCTGAGTGCTACATCCTGCCAACGAAGTCGTCGTACTTTGCCGCGTCCGGCAGCAGCGGAGTACAGGAAGCCATCGACTACGTGCAGCAGCAGGGCGGTCGTGTGGTGCTGACGCTGGCGGCAACGACGCCCGCTGCTGGCGGTGGCGAAGCCGGAGGCGCGGCGGCGACGCGTGAAGGGGTGAGGCGCG